TTGATTTTATGGAAATTACGAATAAATAATTAATTTAACCTTGTATTTTAATAGAATTGGGTTTTACAAAGAAAGCTCGAGATCAAAATATTGCCCGTATAGGGTTTGTCTCGGCTGAACTTACAAAAGCCGGTGCTGCTGTTATTGCTGCACCAATCGCTCCGTATGCAGATGCACGAGCTCATGTAAAGCAATCAATAGAACAATATGGCGGATTCTATTTGATTCATGTTAATTCACCTCTAGAACACTGTATTGCAACTGATAGAAAAGGTGTCTACAAGGTATATATATTTTCTTATTCTTTAATTAAACCCGAATTTTTTATTTTAGTATGCGTAAATGTTCAACTTTTTTATTATCTATTTTAGAAAGCACAAGCTGGTGAAATTAAAGGTTTTACAGGCATTGATGACCCATATGAAACACCAACTGATCCGGATATTGTAGTTGATCCAAGTAAACAAAGCATTAGTGAGATTTGTCATCAAATCATCTTGTTACTCGAAAAGGTACATATTTTGTTTAATCAATGCTTAAAAATTAATCTTAAAATAAATACTAATGCTAATAATTACTTTTTAACAGGATGGTTACATTGGTGAAAGATAATCAATCAATGAAATAAAAATAAAGTAAATTAAATAGTCTTATTTACCTTGTCACAAATTAAACCGATGTAGAATATATATCATAAAATTCTTAAATTAATCCCAATTACTTAAAACTTTAGAATAGATAGTATTAATAAGAAAAGAACTTTGATGTTTAATAGATCTTAATAATGTAAATGACTATAATCACGAAAATTGTATCCAATTTTACAACTTTACATTTTGTTAATTTTGTTAATTTTGATTAAAGTTTCATTTTATTTTTAGTTTCATCATTGATTCATTGATAACATTTTTCGCATCAGATTTATTACTTTTTTTTTTTCTAAAAAAAAAACAGTATATAATAATTCAAGCTAGCTTTTCTTAAATGATATTTAATTTATGCGTATAGTTTAATAGTCAAATATGGATAGTTAAATAACTAAAGCACCATCATCCACCTAGCGAGCCAAGTCACTATCGTTTCTTTTAAACATTTTCCTTCTGGCTTTCTATTTATATTCTCTTACCCGTTACGTACTCTTTTCGTATACGCCCGACAAATATTTTGTTATTGGGTTTTCCGTGTAACCTTCCTCTTTTTTTTCATCAATTTAAGAATGACAACATCAAATGTTTTGACAAGCCATAATAAAAATTTTTGCTATAATATGTTCTTGTGCGCGTCACGTAGACTTCCTTTTTTCGTGAGTTGTGTAAGTTTTAGAGGAAATTAATTTGATACGATGAATCGTTGGTTTTCTTATGGGAAGTTCTAGAAAAAAATTGTGGAATATATATATTTGGCTTTTTTCTATGGCTTCTCATTATCAAAGCATATGACATATAAGTGGTATATAGTCAGTAAATGGGCTTCATCTTTAAGTGTTGCATTATAAGCAAGTAAGCATGCTGGGCACAATTGGCATTATAACAGGCACTGTTGGCACTATGCCGGACAAAAATACTAGTGCCCAAATGCTTGTCATTTTTTTATTGTGTTCTGAACTTCTGCCAGTTCCGGTGCCAGTGCCACAAAATTTTTGGCACATGCCAGCCTATATCATGTATTGTAGGATATAATTGGCTAATTTACATAGCGATAGGTATATATATTACACACATTATAATTTCCGCCTTGCTATTTTTCATTTTTGGTCGATGAGTTCGTTTGCCCACTACTGCACTATATAGAAGATGATAGAGGGGTTGAAAACTAGTAATACTATGAATATACGGTATATATATACTTTTCTATTTGCTTGATGTAATAACAATATAGCTATAGAATAAATTTAAACCTTGGCACTAGTTAAAATAAAAAACCGAATATAATTAATAATTCCATAACTTAATATACTTTAATATATAACTACTATGAATAAATAAGTTTCTATGAATGCTGATTTCTATCTGGTATCTGAGCTAAATTCACGTATATATGCGTGATGAATCATGATAGTAAACGATTTGTTTTTGTTCCTCGGGCTTTTATTTTTTGTAATGAATATTGACGTTCATCCAAAGTTAAATAAAATTGAAAAATCTTACGAGCTAGAAGACTTCGCTTACCATTCTGCGATCACATGACCCAGTTTAGTTCCAACATATTTCATTTTCGTACTCCACTTATTACCCTATTCATTGTACTGTACTTTCAAATAAGCCTTTCTGACTAATGCATAAATATTATCGTTGACTCAAATCGGTTCGTAAAATTACGGTATCAATAAAGTAATTTCCCTATATAAAAAGAAAGAACTTCTTGTACAATATTGTATAATACATAATTGTTAAAAAAAAATGTCTGAATCAAAGCAATTAATATCAATGTGGCATAATTAGTTTGCAAAATGTATTATAATAATGTCGCGATATCTATCCTATTGACTGCAGAATACCTATACAATGCGGAGATGCTATGTATTATCATTGGAAAACTTTTTATTGAAATAAAAAAGCACACTTGACTTTCATTATCGTGTACGTTTTTCACCTTCGCGTTTATTTTTCAACTTCGTCTTTACTCTCCATTTTCGTCTTCGTATTCCAACTTACACCTCACCATTCATATTTAATGGAAGACTTAAGAACATATCCTGATAATTCTATTTCAAATGTCTCATTAGAAGATAATGTAACAGAATCAAGTAGCGGCACATATATTACCAAAGAGCATTGGGCAGAAGTATTGCATGAAAATAAGGTTGTTCGTCAGTGCAAGAATTGTAACAAGAAACGATATTCGGTTAATACCAGTAAATCACATTTAAAAAAACATACAATTTCATGTACAACACAGGATACCAAGTTTAGTTTTATTAAACCCGTCACAAAGGAGGATGTGGACAACTCAATAATTGATTTAGTTGTTAGTACTGGAATTTCTTTTAACGTTCTTAATGGTTTATTATTTCATAGAATGGTAAACAAGCTTCATTATGTGACAGATACATATAAAGTTCCTCATCCAACAACAATATCACGTCATCTTTCAGGAAGAATTTATGAAATAAGACGTGAATTTATTAAAGGTGTTATGGCAGAAATGCCAGGACGGATTTCACTAACCTGCGATGGATGACACTCAACAGTTCATAGATGCCATTATACAGTCGTTACAGGATCATGGATAAGTGACAATTGGAGAATCGTTAATATTATATTAAATTTTCAAAAATCTGGACAAACGGCAAAAGATATTAAATCAGTAATAGTCAATACATTAAATAATTATAATATTAGAGATAAGATATTTTCACTTACGATGGATAACACTACAACAAATAAAGCAATTGCTCGAATGCTTCAGGATGAATTGCCTAATATAAATCTTATATATATTGGATGTATGTGCCATATTCCTAATCTTATTGTGAAGGTAGGATTAGCAGAAATTGATAGACTTCGACAAAAAGTACATAAAATTATGAAATATTTAGCAAATCCTCTAGCTAATAGATGTTTAGAATTGTTGGAATCATATTGTAAAGTTGTTGGAGTGAATTTTCTACGGCCAGTTCTTGAGATAGATATTCGTTGGAATTCGACTTTAGCCATGTTTGAAAGATATATTATATTACACCCCGTAATTAAAGAAATGTACTCAAAAGAACCATCAATGCCATCCTGTTTAGAAACAGAAGAATTATTAGAGCTGGAATCATTTTGTCGAATTCTCAAACCGTTTGAAGTTGCAACTACAATTCTCTCTAAAGATCAGTCGAATTCAATTTCAGATGCTTTAACAGTAATACTAGAAATTGAGCAGCATATTAATAATATTATATATAATAGCAATGCAGTATGAATTTTGAGAGTGAAAGTGATGGTGCAGAAAGCAATGGAATATCTGGTTGGAAATCATTGTCAAGACAATTTCCAATTCTTAGTCAAATGGCCTGTGATTTTCTTAGTATTCAACCTTCTAGTGTTGCTAGTGAGAGGGCCTTTTCTCAAGCTGGCTTTACGGTTACTAATGAAAGAGCTAATCTTAATGAAAAAACAGTATCCCGCACAATACTTATGCATTTGTGGCTAAAAGAAAGTCAGAAAAAATCTAGCCCACTTAAAGATTTGCCCAAAACAAAATAATATTTTGTTTTGCTCTTTTTCCAAAACCTTTGTATTATAGCAGAAAGAAATGATTTCTTAAAATATCGCTATTGCAAAATTATATATTTACTAATTAGTGTACTGTACAACTAAAAATATGGCCTGATAATAAGTCAAATAAAGTAATACTATTTCAAGTTAAATTTATAAATCGTTATCGTTATACAGTTTAAATATTTTAAGATGTTATTATGCATATATTTTTTTTTTTTTTTTTTTTTTTTTTTTTTTAAAAGAGATCATTTCCTCGTTCCTTTATTTTATGTTAATATATGATTTACAATTTCTTATAAATGATACATTGATCTTTTGTGGAAGGGGGGAATAGAGCTAAAGCTATGCTAATTTACTCTAGACCTAAATTTTAGCTAGATAGATCATAACCTCTAGACTGTGTTATTTATTTGTATTGGGGAGTGATTGTGTTCTATATAGTTAGTTAACCATCTATTGTAA